GTGGTGATCGGTGATTGGTTACAGAGCCCGGCCAATACGGATGAGTCTATGGAGGATGAGGAGGAGGAGGAGGAAGAGGAGGAGGGGGGAGGGCAAGAAGGAGGAGGTATAACCACGCCCGTTTCTCCTCAGGAATTGTTGTTTGCATCCTGGAATATCCGGACTCTTTCTTGAAGTTTTGTTCTCTCAGTCTGGAACTGCCTGGAAAAACTACAACATGAGTCTATATACAGTAATATTACATGAATGATAGAAGTTACTGTAAAACTTCCTGGAAAAACTACAACTACAACACAAGTCCATATATAGTCATGTCATGACAGAAATTTCTGGAAAGCAGAAAAGTTACCTGGAAATAAAATATTGCACCATCCTAATCATCACTTTAAAATACTATGGAAAACTTTGATTATGGGTACTGCAACCTGTCTGGTAAGGTTTTAAGATGTGATCTTAGAATACAGATGGCTTAAAAATAGAAGATTTTTTTGAAAACTTGATGTGAAACATTTACTTTGTCCTCCAGTCGTTTCACTAAACCTCCATGGACAAGCTTTGAACATAATTTTCTACTCAATCTTCTTTTTTTCCTTAACATTTTGGTAGCTGCTCTTCTACCTTTATCAGAGCAGTGTGCTTTCTCTTTGTCATATTGTGATTTGATTATCATGACAAGGATGCATTCTCCAACATCTTTATTTGTTTCTACTTCTTGCTTTTGATACTGTTCCATATTTGATGACCGTTTCTGTTGTTTGATGCTTACAACTTTATTAATCATTTTGTATAATTAACACTTTTTTCCATTCATTTTATATCTCCCAAGTTTGCTTGTTCTTTGAACGCTGTGTTTAACCTCATGATTTGTTTAACATTAATGGATTGCAGTCTTTCGTTCTTTCATTTAACATTATTCCTTTTTTCCATTTTTCCTTGTTTTTTGCATTCCACTCCGGAGGATCGACATGCTAAGGCTCGGCAAGGTAAAGCACAATTTTCCTCCTTTTTGTCTGTCTTTCGTTCCCGCAGGCCAAGAAAACGGAGGAATCAGCAACAAAAAAAGAGCCGGTGGCGAAACCCAAAGGTAATGACTCGCAGCCGGGCGGGGCGGAGAATCGTCATGACAACAGTCGCCCGCGGCGACCGGTTTCCGAGGTTACGGGCGGTCTGAAGACCACGTCGGCCGCGGCGCCTCTGTGTGAGCAGAGTTGCTCCTGTCTGAGCTCGAGCATGGCGTGGTGGCTGCACGGCTAGCCAAGGGTTCTTACACGCTGCAGAAAGTTCCAAACGAAAAATCATACAGATTCTCTGTAAAAGAAGTATTATGACATCTGAAAATAATGTATTACAACATCATTTTGCCATTATTCATGGCTTTGGGAACATGACAAGGCTGAGATGGAATTTGACCAGTTTCGTCTTTCTCAAGAGTGACAGATATTGGGCCACTCCTCCTGTTATAAAAATGTTTCCAAACTGTCAGTCAATCAATCATCTACAGGCTTCATGTCAGAAGCATAGTGGCTGTAGACAGTTGTTTTCAGAGACTTACGTTGGCAGCGTTTTAAAGTTTAAAGATCTTTTGTTTGAGCTGAATCTGCGTGTACGAACCCTGCACTAGCTTCCCTCTGCATGGCTTCAGTTTGCCGTGAAAACTGTGATGCTATTTTAAATCCCTGCCTGCTTCTGTGTGCCTTTACTAGTAGTTTTAACTGTTTTCTCCTAATCTAAAGATTCCACCAATATAATCCTGTCCAGTTGAAGTCTCTGCATTTTGTTTTGCTGTTTAAAAGTACATAACCATGTATGTTCATCAACAACAGTTTCTAAGGTGGTAATGTTAAGAAACATCAATGTGTATGTAACTTTTAACAGGAATCATTTTCATATAGTCTTCACCTTTTTTTAGGCATTGATTAGAAAAATAAACATTGTATTATCTTTGCCTTTGAAACTGACACTATGATGCTTTAACATATTAATTGCCAGCTACTATATTGTTTAAAATGTTTGTCCAAGATTTAAAAACGAGTTTCTTCATTTTTTCTCAGCTCTCTCCTTGTCGGGGTCCTTTCGAGTCAAGCAGGACGTTAAGGAGAGGCCATCAGTGAAACACACTTCACTGGGCAGCAGGGACCCTGATCAGTCAGTACATTCTCCCTACTGTTCCTCTTATTTACTTGAACTTTGCAAATCAGGAAATTTTGAAATCTCATTTTTGTCTGCCAGTTTTTGTATTTTACCTTATGAATTAATCTATGAATATAGGAAAAACATGTCTTTTTTACCAATGTATTAATTATGAAAGATGAACTATGTTCTTTCTCTACTGTGTTTTCTCTTAAAGCCCGCAATACACTGGATACAAGTTTGTACATTTTTCTTACACATACACTGTATTAGTAACGTTATAACTTATGAATGATTTAAATGATTATTGTCCTTAAATTCATGTGGATGCAATAGAGGCCTGCCTACATTGTCTAAATGAAAGTTTAACAATGTCATGATTGTAAAGCTTATAGTTTAACATACAGTACCTACATTTTGTATAATTAGTTGTTGGAGAAATTTCATATGCAAGTGCAAAGCATGGATGTTTCTAGAACTGAAGAGTCTGGCATTTTTGAACAGGACTTGGTTGGTGCATGTATATATATAGTGAAGTGTGGTTCATCTTTTGACTTTTGAAACATCGCCATTTACATTTATCTGACACAGTTATTACATGTATCTGCCACTTTGAAAACAGTGTGTTTGAGAGATCTGTATTCTAGTGCAACAACCAAGGTACAATGTATGTATATATACATATATATGGCATTATGTTCAACTTAGTAGATATAATACAGTATGAAATAACGACTACACTTTTTCTGGCAACACTGGAATGACTTGGGATTTACCAAAATTTTTCGCTGATAACATCAACTTTCAATTGGTCCCAATTCATTCCGGTTTTGGCAGATTAAGTTTAGTCCTTATTTCATAATGACTTGTACCAACACAGATGAACTTTCATGCTAGTTATACTACAGTTTTTGCTTCTGTTATTCCAGAGATCCGAACACTCTAGTGGAATACTCCCATTTCTCAGCACTTGGGAAGATGCAGCCCTTCACTATGTCTATAACTACCAACTGTCTTCTGCTCATGGTGGGTGTACTGTGTGTGTGTGTGTGTGTGTGTGTTTGTGGATAGTGTTCAGCACCAAGGACAGGTTATGTGTGTGGATGGTATTCAGCACCAAGGACAGAGGTGTGTGTGTGTGTGTGTGTGTGTGTGTGTGTGTAGATGGTGTTCAGCACCAAGGACAGGGATGTGTGTGTGTGGATAGTGTTCAGCACCAAGGACAGGTGTGTGTGTGTGTGTGCATGTTTTTTGCTATCTGTTTCACTTGAATTCTCTCTAGTCTGTCAACATAACTATTCCTACCATGTTCCAGGACTTCCACTGCCACCTGACCACCAGCGAGGTCGTAGGTTACCTGGGAGGGAAGTGGGACCCTGCATCACAGCGTGAGTACTGGACAGCTGTTCTCATTGAGACATAGTTATGTTTACCAAGGAAAACATCTTGTTTTTGCTCTGTTTCTTCTTCTTCTTCCGTTCCAAACAAATAAGGTCAGATGACCTGAACCTGGCATCTGACACAATGGTAGCTAGTGTTGGGTTACAACATGTTGCAATTTTGTAGCAGGAGGGATTTAGACTTCTGTCACCATATATTATTATATGATTGTGTTTGAGTAAGAATTAACAGAGCAGACCATATGCAACTTTTTACCTCCCCAGTTGAAGTCATCAGGTTCCCATTTTACACCTGGGTGGAGTGAAGAAACTTGCATCCAGTGCCTTTCCCCAACCAAGAATGCAAGGAATGGAACCCATGACCTGTTGATCTCATGTCCATGTTTTCTCCTATGTTTCAGACTTGAGTATCCTGCAGGCATTCCCCTGTAGATGTAGGCTGGGCGACAAGGAAAACGCTATAGTAGTGGAGGAGGAGGTAGACATTGTTCTGTTGTTACCCTTAAAAGAAAGAAGACTAGAAATAAAGAACTACACCATTCAGTTTGTTGGGTTTTCATGTTACCTAAAAATTTTTAGGTAAAATTTCAGCAAAACATGCTCTTTATGTGTTGTTCTTCGGCACTTGTAACTGAAAAAATATGAATTGCTGAGCTTCAACTCTAGATATTTTTACTTTTTACAACTACCATACTTTTTGACACATCATTTGATATGTACATGTAAGTAGTAGCCTAGTAGCATGATAACTCCAAGATGTTGCTTAAAATCTACAATATGTTTAAAACCAGGATTATAAAGTTTTTTCATGACATAGGGTAAACCAATAAAATTGTTCTATGGCTTAATCTTCATGATCCTTTGCAGTATATAACATATCCCGAAAATGGCAGTGCTTTGCAGCAACTCTTACGTTTGTGTCTCAGATCCGCCAGGGCATGATGTTACGTGGCCTGTCATTGGTCGGCTGGTACCACTCCCACCCCCACTGTCAGGCGGACCCTTCGTTGCGAGATGTGGACTGTCAGATGGAGTACCAGGTGGCCATGAAGGGGCTGGGCGCTACGTACCAGCCCTGTGTAGGCTTTATAGTGGGTCAGTATGAAAAATGTCCAGACTTAGCCTCCATAGCATGCCAAAAACTGGGGGTTTTGGGAGGTCTTCAGGGTCTTTGGGAGCTTTTATGTGCTATTGTCTGATTGCATATAGACGACATAGCTGGCCTGGTTGAATTACCCCCATTTTTAGAACTGGGCTAATCAGAAAACAGCCGAAGACCACCAAACCCCCAGTTCTATAAGCCTGCTAGCTACGGAGGCTAGTCCAGACTATGTATGATGTACAATATGACTAATAAACTGGTGGACGTACCAACCACCAAGTATCTGATACCAGCCCAGAAAAAAATAAACAGCCTTGCCTTTAAGTAGCAGAGTTGTCAACTAAGACTTAGTTCAAAAACATTGTATTTTCCAAGAACTATCATAAATTGGAACTTGTTGCCACCAAGCACTGTTAGAGCATCATTACTAGACAGCTTGAAGCAATTCCTGCAATTAAATGTGCAAATATTGGGTGTAACAGGTTGTTAAGTGTAATATACCTCAGAAAAAGTGTTTTACCTCAGAAAAACGTGATGTATTTTTGAATTTTGACTGTGTTCCCAAATGTTTTTATTTCCAGCTCCATTTCCCCTGAGTGAACCAATAGTGGAGTCAGCAATACAGGCCTTCTGGGTGATGCCGCCTCCCGAGGTAAATCGTCTATAGTACAAAACCAAATAAAAGCCCACAGCAAAGAAGTACAAAAAGTGAATAAAACCATGATAAACAGGAAAACAGAGATTTCAAATGTCAAGAAAGAATTTTGAACTCATTTGCACAACCATTTGTACTTTTAACAAGCCCAGTAGGGCAGAAACATTCAAACTTCCAACTTGACCTTAATGTCAATCTGAAGTAACCAAATCTTCCCTTCTTTCCACACTACTGCCTAAATACCTACATGTTGTAAGTTTAGAACACAAGCAAACATACAGACAGTACTTCCATACTTGAGGGTAAAAAGTCTACTGATACAATGAGAACCAATGGGGACTTCTCCTGATACATAACTGTTATTTTGATGATGTAGATTTTGTATGAGTACTTACCACCTTTGTTGTTGTTGTTGTTTGTTGTTGTTGCCATGGCAGCACAAGCCCCACGAGTACGGGATGCCGATGTCGATGAGCTACACGGCCTGTATATACTTACCACTTTGTTGTTGTTGTTTGTTGTTGTTGCCATGGCAGCACAAGCCCCACGAGTACGGGATGCCCATGTCGATGAACTACACGGCCTGTATATACTTACCACCCTTGTTGTTGTTGTTGTTTGTTGTTGCCATGGCAGCACAAGCCTCACGAGTACGGGATGCCCATGTCGATGAACTTCACGGCCATCCAGGACAGCTATCTCACACAGGACGTCGTCAACGAGATGGTCATATCATTTCTGCTGCACAACTTTTACTTTGATTAAATCTAGAATAGGCAATTAATTAAGAATGGGCGTGATGCCCCAGTTTGGGGCCTTGCCCAGTATGATATATAGATAGATATAGAAGAATACATGCATGTGTAACAGTGGAGTTCAAGCACCACCAACTGACCAGTCTAATGATTGGTCTAGCTGGAGCTTTTAGCCTTGTGGTTAGTAGTAGTGCATTGGGTTTGTGAGCTGGTTCAATGTGGGTTCGAGTCCCTAAAGCCACGAGACTATAGTACTCATCCCTGTGTTTCACACGTAGCAGTCTTGTACAGGTTAAATGTCAGTTTTCTCCTGCAAAATGGGGCAGATTCTTGGTGCCAGCATTTCCCACAAGAGAGCCCTCTGATCAAACCCATTACAAATGCATTACATAGACATGTGCATTATGTACATAATTGTATCATTCAATATTTTCCCTCCAACAGAAGTGGGTGAGTGATTACTACAGCGGAGCTCCAGACTTCTTGTTCTTTAAGGAACCCTGGCACCAAGATAAGACGTTTCTCGAGAAGGTTAAGGTTAGTCTTTTCTTGAGATATTTTTCATTTCACAATCATCAGTCGTTGTATGACATTACAAATATACATATTATATATCGACAACCTTTGACCCTTTGCTGATGTCACACGTGGGAAAAATCACGTGTCCACAGCATTTGGGTCAGATAGCTGAGGAAGACTGACTGATTCAGTCGAAAATTTCTGGTGAGTTTTTCATAAACATGCATATTTTAAACTTTTTTTTCTTTCAAAAGAACAACACACACATACTTTCAGAAGATTAAACAGGTGCACATGCCACACAAGATTATTGTTTTACTAGAGATACTAGAGAGAAGTTACCATGATATCATTTTACATAGTGTGTTAGGCAATGAACATATTAACAAGATACAACAATATCTCTTTATTGGAAATCGCAGTTTGTTGCCACTGAATTAAAACCAATTTACAATTCAAAATAAGGAATCCATTAAAAGCTTGATTACAAATATGGACAAGTTATACACAGACATTACAAAAAGAGGCAAGTTACTGTCCGTGCTGGTTTACAAATCTAGTCATGTACAGCACACAAGAGTTCAAGTAACGGTTCGTTCTGGCTTTCGGACAGTTCAATTTGTGGTTGTTGCGTGTCACTCTTCCTGTGATCTGAGCCCTAGGTGGTGGAAGCCAGTCCTTGAACTCAGAGCCTAGCAAGGACCTAGCAAACTTCAGAGTCAGCTGTTCACGCCTCTCATAAAGACCTCTCATTGTTTTCCAGGGTTCCCTGGCCAAGAAGTTGCCCAAGGATCAAGTCAGCGGCCAACTTCTTGACTTTGTACAAAGTTTACTTGTGACACAACAAGGGCAGGAGAAGCAGACCTCAAGATGAAAATATACTAGTAACTTCTTAGATAACGGAAGAAGGTCAAAGACCTTGAAGTAGACATGCTGTAGATTTAATATTATTAAACACTTCCAGCACAGTTTTTTATGAGTTGTGTAGAGTAGGTCTAGTGTGCATGTAGTTTACGAGTCAGTGCACAGAAAAACTGTTGTACACAATGTATCAGTATTAGGCCACACCAATTTAATTTGTTGGTTCTCGGATTTGCCCACTTCATTTTTTTCTGATTTGCCAAAAAAAAAAAAAATTCAGGCTCTGAATCAACTTCAAAATGCTCATATTTTGGGCCCCAAAATTAAAGGAAGTCCCATCTCTTTGAGTTGTTACAGTTTTTTTCCATCTATCAATGCAGTGGTTTAAAGTATAAAATTCATTGTTTGAATTACAAACCAGCTTTCATGGCTCCTGAAATAGCATTTGTTGCTATCATAGGATGCCTAGACCTGTCGCTTCATAATTTTTCTAAAAAAATCCAAGAACTAACAAATTAAATTGGTGGGGCCTTATGTACCAAAAGTTGATGTTGTCCCTCCCCATCCCCCACAAAAAAAAGCAAAAATGGTGTGCCAAACTTTGAGACCTTTTGAAAGGGTCGGATGTGTGTTTTATAAAGCTGTAAAGCTTATACCCTTAGTGCATACTTTAAAAAAAAGATTATTGTCTGTAAAGCACCTAAAGCACTTAGTGAAAACTGTGGGTTTGGCCTGGATATTTGTTTATTGCATTATTGTGTATTGCCCTGGGGGTTATGAAAGTCTATGTGTGTCCCTTTTTTGTGTTTGTAGGTTGTCAAGGGTAACCAAGGTTTTTCTGTGGATGGCATCCTCCCCTATATTATTGTATGAGATTTTTATGTGGCTGTGGAAAGACACAAGTTGGTAATTGATGATTTAAGCTAGATTTTTGTCTTTGGAGAAGAAAATTTGGTATTGCCTAAAATTCAATATATGGTATCAAAACCAGTGAATTGGACCAACCAAAATTATTGCGATATACATGTACAATGTATGTAGTAAGCAATAACAGTTGTGATGATGAAAAATCCTGTAAAATAATTGGAATATATTGCCTAAACATCTCATCCTAAAGTTGATGTCAACCATAGATTTAACTTAAACTTGACCCTCACTGTGGAACTTATAGAAAAAATCCCTATTTTGACTTTGTTGACAAAGTTTTGGTCTTGACTCGTCCCATACTTGTTTGGTTTAGACTTTATTACATTATATAGGATCTGAGAGATCCAGAGGTTTTGGTGTTGTTTTCCTGTTTTTGCCAGTATTGTATGCTGAGTGTGGAATTGTCATGTTTTGTGATACCATTTGTAATGGTATAAATGTGGGAAAAGATAACCATATATCAGTATCTTGTGAAGTTATACTAGTATATCAACTGAGGTATTACTTGTATTTATAACTGTTATGCACTGAGATTAACTAAGTAGGTTTACTTGATGTATTTCTGGAATAAACAGAACTGTACAACTGATATGCACCAGAGAACAATGTTTATTTTACATTGTACTTAAAATGCACATTGTGCAAAGTACCAGTAATCAAGTGAGCAACAGAAAGTTTTATTTTTGTGTATTATATCTTCATTTCCCATGACCTGATGGTTTGATATGCACAAACGGTAGTCATCACTGATACTGATGGACAACCATAAGCAAGAATTAAATAGTAAGTCTGCAGTAAATAATAGCAAATTGACTAGGACCCGCATAGCTCATGTATTCTCAGTAAATAAACAACCAGTGAACAATGGGTTCAGCTGTGACTAACAAAACCCACTTAACTATCCAGATTGGTGGCTTTAGTTGGCCCTTGTAATATAATTTGATTCTTTGTTCTGTGCAAGTTTAGATGAAAATAGGTAAGGTGGCTTAGAGGTTGGTCATCATCATCAGGTTGGTGTTTCTCGGTTGATACTTAACCAAATTTGGGACATTTTGTTATGCAGACAGCATTATATAGAAACACTTATTATATGCATGATTTTTTTCCCTGCAAAAGTTAATTTTACTCCCTTGTCATAACCAATGCTTCTAGCTGGAGACTAATTGCTCTTCTGTGATCACCTTGAAGGGCCAGCACATCTGACAAGTTTCTCAGTGCAGTAACAGTGTTGGGATGTGGTGTGTTATGGCCATAGATACTCCTTGTCATCTGTAGTGACCGTTCAAAGTATGTAATTGCTTCCCTATAATCACCAAGCTTGCACCCGGCTCTGCCTAAGTCATTGAGAGCCTGCACAACATCAGGATGTGCTATAGTCCGACCATTGATACTCCTTTCCATGTCCAGTGCCTGTTTATGATAACTGATTGCGTTTCTAAAATCACCCAAATCATAACTGGAAATGGAAAGGGTGCAAAGTAAACTCACAATGTTCAAATTTTGTGCATTCTGACCATAGATACTCTTCTGCATCTGCAGTGCCTGCTTAAAGTAACTCATAGCCTTACTGTGATCACCTAATTCCTGCCAGAGAACACCTATATTGTTAAGTGACATGGCAATGCTAGGATGTGCTGTACCCTGGCCATGAATACTCCTCATGATACGCAAGGCCTGTTCATGGTAGCTGATTGCTTTTCTATGATCACCTCGGCCATACCAGGCTAATCCCAGTCTGGAAAGTGCAGCTGCAATGTCATGATCAAGATGTGGAGTATTCTTCCCATGGACTTTCTTGAGCATCTGTAATGTCTGCTCTAAATACATAATTGACTTACGGTAATCACACAGATTACCCCAGGCTGTCCCCAAGTTGTATAGTGACCTTGCAATATGAGGATGGTCAGTAGTCTGGCCGTAGATATTCATGAACATCTTCAGTGCCCGTTCACTATATCTTATTGCTTTTTCATTATCTCCCAGTCCTACCAAACCCTCGCCCAAGGCACTGAGACAGAGGGCAATGTCTTGATGCTCCTTTGTCTGGCCATGGATATTTCTTAACATTGTCAGTGCCTGTTTACAATAACTTACTGATTTCTCTAGATCACCCAGGGAGCGCCAGGTTATTTCCATGTTTATTAAAACCTTAGAAATGGAAGGATGGATTGCAGTTTGCCCCAAGACACTTCTGTGTATTTGTAGTGCCTCTTCTAGCTGACTGATCGCTATTTGGTATTTGCCAAGCTGATGGCAGAGTATCCCCATGTTGGTGAGCAAAGTAGCCATTTCAGCCGGTTTACTCTGCCCATAGATAATGCTTTTCATTTGGAGTGCCTCTTCACAGTAATGCATGGCTTTCTTGTGGTCCCCCATGACCAGCAAGATTAGGCTTGCACTACAGAGTGTAGTAACAATTTCGAGATGTGCTTTCTGACCATAGATACTCCTTGACATCTGTATTGCCTTTTCAAGGTAGCTCAGTGCTTTCTTATTATCACCCAATGTAAGCCAGAACTTCCCCAAATTGTTAAAGGAGCCGGCAATCTCAGGATGTACTGCATTCTGACCATAAATACTAAAGTACATCTGTTGCGCCTGTTCTGTGTAGGTGATTGCTTTCCCATGATTACCCAGGCAACTCCAGAATAGTCCTAGGCTGCCTAGTGCGGTGGCAATGTGGTGATGTTGTGCAAGCTGCCCATGGATACTTCTGAACATCTGTATTGCTGTTTCAACATATTCGATTGCTTTCCTGTAATTGCCCATTTCGAACCAAGTATCTCCTAGACTTTTGAGTGAATGTGCTATTTCCAAATGTGCATTTTCCTGACCATGAATGCTCTTGTACATCTTGAGTGCCTTTTCCAAATAAGCAATTGATGTTTTTTGATCGGCAAGGTATTGCCAGATTAATCCGAGGTTGAGAAAACAGGAAGCGATGTCATCATTAATTGCATTCGGTCCATACATACTTCTTTGTATCTGCTCTACCTCTTCAAGATACCTGCGGGCTTTTTGATAGTCACCTAGCCTCAACCAACACCTCCCAAGAATACCGCAGAGAGACATTTTCTCTTTCCCAGTACCTACAGTTCTTTTCAGGGCCTCATCTAAATGAATTACAGCCTGTGCAAATTCACATAGCTCAAAGTACATCATTCCTCGGGCTACTGGAGATTCAACGTAGAAATGAGACATCAAAGTTGGGACATGCTTTTTCTGGAGCTGTTCAGATAGAAACTTTTTCAGGGGAATGGCTGTATAGTAGTACCTAATAAGCTGTTTTTTCGTTGGCAGATGGAAAACTGGTTTCAATGTATTTGCACTGTTTTCAACATCTTTCTCCGAATATGATTCTGTTTCCTGTAACACTGATTGCATTGAGGAGAGCCCTGACAGGTTTTCCCTCTGTCCTCCATTTGCAATGTATGTCCTGAGCCTGAGTTCTGCTGAGATACTGACAAGCACTCTAACATGATTTGCATTATGAGGACAGATCACCGGTTGGTTTTCCATTTTGTCTATTGTTTTCCAAACTGTGGTAGGTATGATGCCTGACAACAGTGCCAAACAGTCCACTGCTACAGCTGGGAAGCGATAGAGTTTTTTCTTCACATCAATCATTTCTGCTGTAACTATGTAGTTATCACTGAAGTCTTTAATATTTTCCTTCAATACCATCTGTGCCAGTTCATGAGCCATCTTACCCCCATCAGCTTGCAGTATCTCCACTGTGATGTTCATGTATATGTCAACCAAATCCTGGTCCCCTGCTATCAGGCATGGGTTTCTCAAGATGCTGGCAAGGTGATATCCCTCCTTCTGATACAATGTGGCATCATTTTGTAGTATTTTGACCATGTTTTGTGGGGTACAGATGAGTTCACTGGGTGGTCTGTTCTTAGTTCCCTGCCTGCCCAGTGGAGTCTTGCTTGCCTTTGGCATGGAGCCATCAAATGCAAACCCACGAGGTGTAACAGAGTCATAGTACCAGTTGTCAAGTGGATTGATTGAGTAAAAGTCATTTAGACTTCTTATTGCAAGTGCTGGGAGAATGGTTTCTCCCAGGTTGACCACCTTGAGGTGAAGGTAGTGGGTGAGCTTACGGAAATACACAAGACATTCTTCACTTTCTTTCTCTACCAAGATGGCAAACTCCAGGTCTGAGTATGGAGTTACCAGTCCTGTGGCCTGTGAACCCAAACCTATCAGGGCATACTTACAGGGAGGGGGACCCATTAACCCAATACACTCTTCTACAAGCAGGCTGATGAACTCCTTCCTTTGTTGTGCAATTTTCTTAAACAACTGCCTGACAGCCTGAGCTCGTTTTGCCTCTATCTTTCTGACACATGGGTCATCCTCATCATGTACATAGGGATCCAGCTGCTGGTCAATGGTTTCCATCTCCAGCTTGATCTGGTCCCGCATCTCCTTCAGCTGTTTCTTGTGATTTTCTGTGTTGTTTTGAGCTACACAATGAACATCTAAGATACATTGCAGAAACAACTTCTCTATTTCCCTAATAGCTGTTGTTAAGTTACCATTGAGGACTTGATCCTCTGACCTGGCTATTGCTGCATTGTAGAGTGCTGCTGCTTTGACCAAGTCTCCCCCGTCTCCTGTCTGCTGACCTCGCTTACTGTAGACATCCCCCAACTTGCACAGGGGCTCCACTTCTCTCTGGTACTGCTGAACAGTGGGATCTGAGGAGGAAGAATTTTATCTTGGGCCATTTTTCTTCTTGGATGCATGTAAATGTAGCATATAGGACATATGTGCGTGTAAATATCAAGAAGTATAGTCACCATAATGCAATGTGAACATTGCAATAATTGTACTCTTGTCAAAGTTTTAGAATCGAAATGTTCATATGATGTACAAAACATTATACATTGTATATTAGAATTTCTTAAGGTCTTTCTTACCTCTTAAATGTACAGTCTTGAGTGCAGCTGCAAAGTACTTTTCTGCTGAGTCCAGGTCTGCCCCAGCAAGCGATCTTTCGCCTTTCTCTAGGTGGTCCTTGTACTGACTTTAAGTGGGAGATAAAACTTTTTTTAAACTTTGCTTTAAATGAGAATATCAACACTCAAAACTTAATCTGTTAATAAATTGTTTCAATAATACCCAGTGGTAAAGTTTTGCAGTTTTGTGAAAACATTTGTTTTTTCCCACCTTGGCATGTCTTGATGTAGATGATGATCTTGCAGAACACCAGCTCCTGCCATGAACCCCATTTGGTCGCCTGTGTGTTTTCTACTTTCAAGTGGTCTTGGCCTCTTTGGTGACGGTCGCTGAGTATGAAACCAACATTCACTATTGTTTCTCCACTATTTCTTTTGGTATTTTACATTCTCATGTGGCAATGAGTGATTATATGCTGGCCTTTAAGACTTTTGAGAGTGCAACAATATACATGTAGATGTCTATTACATGTGTAGTAAAATAAATGGTGTGTAAGAGAAGGCCCTTCAACAATGTAGTGACCGTTTTGTTATTGTAAAACAATCAGTGTATTGAATAGATGCTGAAACTACTTACCTTTTTCACTGCATCCCTGATCTTGTCTGTGTACCTGATGCGATGGTGCAGAGTTTCTTTTGCTCCTTGCTCCTCACATGTTGTCAGGGCCTTGTTGTACATGGCAGCTGCCTTGGAGAACTGCGATACATCAGAAGTTTTCTTCCCTTTCTCAAGGTACAGATCTCCTAAAGATTTTAAAACCTCAAGCTCTAAGAAAATGTCAATGCTTGCAATAGCATTCACTAATGTCTTCACTAAAACTTCCTCAAGGGAACGCCATGATGTCACACTTCTGACCAGTTTGTCACAAATCTCTGTCACCCTTAAGACATTACTGTCAGCAGTACCCCAGAAGTCTGGTGACTGATACTGTGGACTGTACCCCTGCAGCAGTTGTCTGGAGAGTTTCTCCATGTAGTGGACACGGTGTTCCAGTGTTTCTCCCACGTTTGGATCTTTGCAGCGCAGTAAGGCAGCAGCATACAGGCCAGCAGCCTTGTCAAACTCTGCAGAATCTTTCCTGAGCTTGGCTTTCTCAAGATGAAGATCTCCAAGGCTTTTCAAGACTTCTATCTCCATAATATGGTCTGACGTAATGATAGCTTCTCTCAGTGCCAGTCCATACCCCAGTTCTTGGTCGTGTTCACTCTTAAGGCAAAGCTGCAGGTGTCCCAGCTTACTTGCCAGGCTGGTCATGTTGTTGTCAGGCATTTCCTTAGTCTGAATTCCTTAAACAAGTTCCTTCATGTAAGTGTGAAAGCTCTGCACCTTTGCTTCAGGTGGGACTTTCCTCAGTGCCACTCTCCCGGGACTTTCCATTGCGTGAACAGTCCTTTGTCTGTGACTGAAAACAAGAAGATCACCTTTCACCTTTCCCAGGTTACCTTTCACCTCAGATGAAAAGCCACCTGTTACCTCAGGTGTTTATGCTTCGCTTCGCCGGCGGCCTTGGCAAAACGCTGGCAGCTTTGTGTATAAAACACGGGGACAGGCTCGCAGTGAATGAGAGTGTAATTATGTGTATGAAGATTTGGAATGGCTCATAATGCCCCCTAGGGACCATTGCTATTGTTAGCAATTATGTGTGGCTATGTAGATGTATTGCCAAACCTCCTTGGTATTGCTAACATGGGGGAGTGCATACATAACATTCTTGAGACTTAAGAATAACCTGTTCAGTTGGAAAGTTGCATAAACATATTAAACACCAGAGAACACAAGAACTCATAGACTCAGACATAATGATATACCTCTTCTGAAATGTTCAACTTGCAATAACATTTTATTCAATACATATATAAGCGAATATACAATATTCGTTAAACCAAGGCTTTTTGAACCTCCTTGGTTAAACTTGGTGACTCGTAAACGATTTTCAAGCAAAGTCGTCAGTTTTTTTGCTGACATCCGTGAATGTTGCTATTTTTTTTTTTTTTGAACGGAAAATGATTCGGGATATTGTTGTCAAAGTTCGTCGTGCCTTTTCGGTCCGGAGAATTCCGAGTGCGAGATGAAACCATCGCGATCGCGATCCTCGTGCTCGAAGATTTCCCACAATACCTCAGTCAGGTTCTTCCCGTCTGGAATCTCCAGACCTTCAGCCACCAGCGTCTTGACGTAGTCTTGGACCTTTAAGGAGAAAAGCAAGAAACCAGCTAAGGATGACTTACGTGAATCTCCAACAGTATGTGCAGGGCTTGAAATTCATTTTTGGGAATAGGTGCACTGGTGCATCCAACCTAAAAAATTAGGTGCACAAAAAATTTTTTGGGTGCACCATATAGGAAAGAATAAGTAGAATGTCAGCAAAACTAATCATGTTTCATTTCTAAAGAAAAGTATTATATACAAGAATAATTTAATTATTTTCCTGACCCATGTTAAGATTATGCTTTAATGCATTTAACAGCTTTACATACATAAACCTAGTACAAAAATATTTGGGTGCACTGGTGCACCCACAGAAAAAAGTTGGGTGCACAGCTCCAAATTTGGGTGCACTAAGGTGCACATGCACCCAGTATTTCGAGCCCTGATCAGATGTGTATATGTGTATAGCCCTTATAACTGCCTTCCAGCTTTTGCATCTGTATAGCAGGTACATGTATAACCTAGCCCGGTGACCAAACCTATTTTTAGTAAGGCCACACTAATTTAATTTGTTGGTTCTCGGATTTTTTCAGAAAAAATATGAAGCGACAGGGCGAAAAAAATAAAAAATAAAAACAGGTCTAGGCATCCCATTATAGGCTTAAATGCTACGGAATGAGCCATGAAGTCAACACAAAAGGCTGGGTTAAAATTTAAACATTGAATTTTGAACTTTTAATCAAACCACTGCAATGATAGATGGGAAAACTGTAACAACTAGGAAGAAAAGGACTTTCCTCAACTGTTGGGGGCAAAACATGAGCATTTTTCAGTTGATTCAGGACCAGAATCAAATTTTTTTTTTTGCAAATCAGAAAAAAAAAACGAAGAGGCGAATCCGAGAACCAACAAATTAAATTGGTGTGGCCTAATAGTGGATGACTATAGTTTCGGTAACTAGGCTAGGTATATTCAACGCCCTTCGGCAAAAGAAAAGAGCCAAATCGATGGTAGATAATCACGATAACTAGCAACTTTGTAATAGGGGGTTGGAAATGTCGAAATCCTGTTTTGTAAGCTATAAGTGTATGTACAAAGTGTTTTCAAGATAGTACCAGTGTTTAATATTGTACTGAAGGTTATTAAAGGAAAAAAGATGTTATGAAAGTTACCCAAATATCCTGCTGTTTTAAGTAGAAAACTCCCTCCCTCCTCCCTTGCCTACACAAAACGCTCACCTCCACTGCAGAAAGCAGCTTGTCCCCATCTTTGTCGATCTCTGCAAACGCATCATGGGCGGGGGGTGAGTCCAGTATATCCAACAGCTCAATGTTGAAGACCAAGGGCGACTCGTCCAACTGTTTTCCTGGAAAAAAGATGAGAAAGTGTCAAAATCGCAAAAGCAAGTCATCATCATACAGTCGGTATAGCCGGTATAACTAAAACTGCCCTTCAGCGTAACACACCAGCTTCTGTATGTATCTGTATAGCTGGTATAACCACCCCTCGGCATAACACACCAGCATCTGTATCTGTATAGCTGGTATAACCGCCCTTCGGTGTAACACACCAGCTTCTGTATCAGTATAGCCGGTATAACTGCCCTTCAGTGTAACATACCAGCTTCTGTATCTGTATAGCCGGTATAACCGCCCTTCGGCGTGACCAGCTTCTGTATCTGTATGGTAGCCGGTATAACCGCCCTTCGGTGTAACACACCAGCTTCATTGGCTACATTACACCTTTACATAACATGCAGTTATACTGTAAAAAAAAGATTCCATTGCAAAAAAGAAACCCTGATTAAAAAAAAAACTAAAAACGCGCCAAAACCCAAACCTCTGCTTGGAGAGTAACATTTACGTGCAGTTTTATTTCTGAACACCTGGTGGCGCTCGTAAGCAGTGAGGTCAGTGACCTACACGCGGTGCTAGACATTGCCTGCAGTTCTATTTCTGAACGCCAGGTGGCGCGCGTGAGCAGTGCGGTCAATGACCTACATTTTGAGGACGGAACTTCCTGACAAGGCGGGATGCCAAGGTCTCCAGCGGCGGCAAGAGTGGCACACGTGGCGCGCAGAGGGTGGAAAAAACAACACCGCCAATCTCCAAGCATGGTCTCTACTAATCTCCAAGCAGATCCCTTTCGGTGGCAAAAAGACAGTATCAAATTGGCCAGGCAGTATCCAATAGCCAGAGAAGGTCGGCAGCCACCGACGGGGGTAGCGACAAAAAAACGGCCATATATAAAAAGCTAACGATCATCCCCCCACAACTAGCCTGGGTACCATCCTACTTGTATGCCGGGGCTCCCACACTCGCATCCCTAAGAAGTACTAGTACTTCTTAGGGAAGCGAGTATGGGAGCCCCGCCCGGCATACAAGTAGGATGGTACCCAGGCTACCCACAACCTCTGCTTGGAGAGTAAGTCTCTACCAGACTAACTACGCTGGCTATATGTAGGAAAATAATTGCCGGGGAGTTTGGCCGCCTTGTAGGTTTGACTTGGCCGCGCAGTTGGGAGGGAAAGAAACTACCTTCCGCGGACTGCCTCCCTTGGGCAATTTTACTCTCCTTTTTGCTGTTTTCTACGATCCGTATTCCCGTATTCCCGTAGAAAGGCCTCGAAGGCTATTTCTCATAGCCATATCCCCAACTGTCTGAAAACTTGACATTCCGGTACGTTTACCCTCAATATCTGCTTGGAGGTAACGATGTTCAGGCGGGTTTGAAAAGGTGGTTATCTTGCACTGCACAGCTACATGTAATGTGTATCATTAGCCTCGAAATTAGGACAGCTCTGCGGGCATTAAATGAAGGTTATGTGCATACCAAGGGTAGTCAAGGAAACGCAGGCATTCCTATCAAGCGCACAGCACACAGTTAAGCAATTCTTCGGCCAAATACACAGTTGGGGCCGCTCAATATACTATCTTTTTTGTTTGAGCGATTTTCGCAGTCTTATATACATGTACATCACCGGGAGTCTTTCCTGGATATGCCATATGCCTGTATAGTTCGCATTTGATTTGGCGCAAAGACCGTGCTTCGGACACGAAACATCGAAACACCGAAACCTCCAACAGTCCAAGAAACGATCTGGTTTCCTTCAAGACTGCCGGAAGTTTTCATTCTCCTTCTGAGATTCTCACGTTTTCTCAGGCTGTTTGCTGTTTTAGTTTTACCCTCCGCGAACTTCTGTGTGTGTGGAAGAAACCCAAGATCGGCTGCTTCTGTTTTTATTAACAGTTTGAAGAAGTCCGAGGTCTGACTACCTCGTGTCTAGGGGGAAGAATAAACTTTGTTTTGTCACTTGTGAAACTGTAGGGCCATATATAGGGTGGGCCGATTTCGACTGCTGTCATAATTTTTTGTAGCATAGCTTGCTGTTTCTAGGTAGCCCCTACCAGGCTTCGGGAGAGTGGGAGGCAACTGGAAAGAGTAGAAATTGGCCAAATAGAGAGATAACATACCGGGGGAGTTGGTCCGCTGGAAACATACCGGGGGAGTTGGTTCGCTAGAATTGGAAAGTACAGTTTGCCGCACCCGAAACCTGTCGGGGGTCGCTACGTTTGGTTGCGGCAAAATGTTCTTTCTAGCGGACCAACTCCCTTGGCATCTTATCTCTCTTTTTGGCCAATTTCTATTATTTTTCCAGCAACCCGTGAAGCCCCGCAGAGGCTAAAATCAGCCCCACATTTGGGACAGGTTTGCACCGCGAGGTTCCCATTATCGGGCCGGCCTCCTGTGGACTTCCAGCCGCCCTCACGGGGATGGTCTTCCGTCGGTCGCTTGCCTGGCTGTAGGAGGTACTAGCCATCTCCAAGCAGTTTCTACGTACTCTCCAAGCAGAGGTTTGGGTTTTGGGGGTATTTTTTAGCGTGTTTTAGGCTTTTTTTTATCGGGGTTTCTCTTTTGCACTGGATTTTTTCCCACCAAACCCAGTTGCTCAGGCCTTTTTCTGGATAAAGCACGGTTCTGGACACCCCAACATGTAACAGCATATAAAACACCCCTCTGATGTGAAATGAGACCGTCCTTCCTGCATAGAAACCTACCTGCGGAGTGCGCGCCCGGTCCAAGGTACGCGATGTGGGAGGGGTGAGGAGGGATCATGAGTTCCCGCTTCTCCCCGACACACATGTCCATCAGACCCTGGTCCCACCCCGGAATCATTTGGTCTCGTCCAACCACGAACTGCAAGGGTTGGTTTCGGTGGTAGCTGTGGTGGGGAGAAAATACTAGTAACTTTTCATCAAACAAACAAATAAACAAACAATCAAACAAACAGTTAACCGATGTGAAGAAATTGAAATCTATGTATCTATTCAAGTAGCTATATACGTTGTCTGTGGATATATATTTGGTATGTATGCATGTATCTGACATTTTTCTCCATTTCACGTTGCTACTATGTTTTTCTTTCTCACTCAATCAATCAATCAATCAATCAATCAATCACTCAATCAATCAATCAATCAATCAATCAATCAATCAATCTCTGGACTTCACCAAGCTTCAGAAGCGGCTGGAAAGAGTAGAAATTGGTCAAGTATAGACAGATAACATGCCAGGGGCAAACTAGTTACTGTACTCCTTTAGCGGCCCAACTCCCCTAGCAAGTTATCTGTCTATTTATATATTTGGCCAATTTCTCTTTCCATCCGCTTTCGAACGTAGTAGTGGAACTCTGTCCAGCGAAAAAAAGGGAGTGCATGCCCTTTTTCGTAAGGCGTAATCAGACCTTTTTAGTCTTCGTAATCCGTAGGCAGCCTCCGCAAAATGAACGTAATTCGTAATCAGTGCATACATGTAAGCCACAAAGCGTAAAGTCGTAATCAGTTCTGAGATTCGTAATCGGCGGCGAAAATTTTGCGTAATCCGTAATCACTATCCCCCCCCCCCATGCTGGCCCTCAAAACAGTTCAAACACAGTGCAGGGAACAGTGCGTGTGGCTTCCTTCCATAAAAGCAAATTATTTGTGTGCCCTATTAACCCACTAGCCGACTCACAGCCGACAGACGAAAAGGAACACAGCCAAAAATTCCTTCCAGCATCTGCCTCGCGACCTAAGACTTCTCAGAAGCCAAGTAAACAGTACCCTTGTCTAACCCCTAGCCTCTACCAGGCTTCGGGAGGCGGCTGGAAAGGGTAGAAACTGGCCAAATAGAGAGATAGATGGCCATAGATAGCATGCCAGGGGAGTTGGTCTCCGCAAGGAGGGTCTTTTTTAACCTCCTTGGTCTCCGCTAGAGCAGTACATTCTGCCGCACCTGAACTGTACTCTCTATCGGACCAACTCCCACGGCATGTTATCTATCTCTCTATATAATTTGGCCAATGTCTATAGCCTCCGTAGCAGGCTTATAGATCTGGGGGTTTGGTGGTCTTTGGCTGTTTTCTGATTAGCCCAGTTGTAAACGGGGGTAATTCAACCAGGCCGGCTATCTTGTCCATATGCAATCAGAAAATAGCACGTAAAAGATCCCGAAGACCCCCAGCTTTTGGCATGCTATGGAGGCTACAATTTCTACTCTTCCCAGCCGCCTCCCGAAGCCTGGTAGAGGCTATCTAACCCCTTCGGTTCTCAGAAAACGTTTGTACCCATATCTTCTGGAGCCGCAAATACAAAGCAGGTGCATGTGTATCTTGTTTAGGAATTTTGCCAGATTATCGGCTTTGAAAGAGCGCGTGCTAGACACAACAGCGGGCGGATAATTTGTGAGGCTGTGGTAGGGGGGTCCAGAGTTATAAACCTGCTTTTCTGACAACTTCAGTGTCACTGACGAAAGGTAGTGGATGCTGACTAAAAAGAAATTAAGCCTAAAATTAAATAAGCCAAAACCCAAAACTCTGCTTGGAGAGTAGATGTTCAATTATCTCTTAGCAGATCATACGGTGGCAAGGCAGTATGCATTGGCCAGAGGATTTCGGTGGCTACTAGTAATGGCCACTCCTCTGGCCAATGGATACTAGCCTGGTTACCAAACATTTATTATAGCTCCCGAGTCCTACATCCTTGCGGAGAGGATGTAGGCCTCGGGAGCTATAAGAGGTTTGGTAACCAGGCAAATGGATACTGCCTTGCCATCGTATCATCTGCTTGGAGAGTAGATTTTCAGAGCTTTCCAACCCCCCCTAGCACACCCTCCCTTTCCGTACGTGCAGGTTCCCCGCCCCGGGCGGCATGCAGCATAAGCGGCAGGTTAACTGCGCTCGGCCTCCCCAACATTTGGTTCGGATTTACGGGTCAAAACGGAACGGGCTTTAACTCACTCGTCATCAAACTTGTCTGGCGTCTGATACAGCTTTTGATCAACTCGCTCGAGCTCTTCTAGCCTGGTGCCCAGGCAACTACTCTTCGGGCCTGAAGTAGTTTTCCGCCGCTGGCCTCGATCGGGCTTCGGGAGGCGGCTGGGAAGGTCAAATACAGAGATAACATGCCAGTAGAGTTGGTCCGCTAAAGAGTACAGTTTGGGTGCGGCAAATGTACTCTCTAGCGTCATCTCTCTATTTGACCAATTTCTGCGCTTTCCAGTCGCCTCCCGAAGCCTGGTAGAGGCTAGTCTGATACAGCTTTGTAACTGGCATGCAACTAGCCTCTACCAGGCTTCAGAATCGGCTGTAAAGATCTAGAGGAAATTCGCCAAACAGGCAGATAACATATCAGGGAAGCCGGCGAACTGTCTATCTTGTATAGGCCCTGGAAACAGTCTGGATTCCAGGCTATTCCCAACGTTGTACCGTTCTACAGGCAATTAAAAATCTTTGAGTTAAAACCCGGTCTGGTCTCCGATAAGCGGTTTTTAAGTGCCACGTGTGACCCTGAATGCGGGTTAACGTCCACAAAAATGTCTATTTTAGTTTTACCAGTAGCTACCAGGTCACTCAGTAGTTTTACGACTCCCTACTGTAACAGTTGGATTACTATGGTAAACGCACTGACCAGGCCAATGTAAACTAGTAGCCTACAGAAACTGTAGTAGGTCCGCTTGTAGCATAGTTGCAATGGCTACAGATTATTTTCTAAAAAAAAAATGAATAAAATGAACAGTTTGTGTCTTTATACACAGGTGCTTTGTACCAAGCAGATATTGAGTCAACCTTGCTTTTTTTTTCCACACGAGTCACTTGTAACTCTTTCTCATGATCCACAATTTTAGTACAGTAGGACTCGCGGCAAAGAGATCAGTTTTGTTTAAGTTTATTGCCAATATTCTTGCCCCAATACTAATAGCAAGTCACGAGAAAGACCAACAAACAATGAAGAGCCATATTTTAATATCATGGCTCTTCATTGTTTGTTGGTTTAAGCTTAAAAACTATGAGACTGGTCTAGTCGAAAAGCTGACCCTAAAGTCTGAAATTTTGTGAATGTGAATTTAACGTCTTTTTATGAAATATTGGCAGACGAAAGACCCCACTTCTTCACTCAGACACGCAAAACAAGTTTGACCCACATCTGCTTGGAGATTGAGGGACCGCCGGTGAAAATTGACGTCGTCCAGTTACCATGGTTACGGTTAGAAGGCGGGAAGACTTGTCATCACAGGAAACAATTTCTTAAGACAGCTCGTATCAAGGGAACTTGTCTGTAAGGAGTCGGAGTGAGTTTTGGGACGTAAGAAAGAGCCGACAACTTGACCTTGAGACCGCCTGGTCAAGGTCAAGACGTAAGAAACACAAGGAGACTTTCCGCCGTGGACTGATTTCGCCCCAGGGAGTCTCAAGAAAAACACGACGTCTTGACAGCAGGGCCTGTACTCCGTGACTTGACATTCGTCAGGGTCAAGTGTAAAGCAAGTGCAGGAGGAGAGGTCGCCGACTTCTTGATCTGTAGGCTATTTCTGTCTCTCAAGATCAAAACAAGGACTTGTCACAGTGGGAAGGGACGCCGTATGGGGAGAGGGGTATAGAGAGTGTTTACGGTTTAGAATTACGGCTATCTTTGAGGCTCTTCGATGGTAAATAAAGGTAGAAAATAGTTTTCAAGGAGGCACTCAGTACTCGCACAGCATTTTTCATTCTTTTTTCTCTGTTTTTCGCTGGATTTACTTAACCTGGTGTGAGAGTGTAAAACAGTTATTGATTAAATGTTTATCGACTTTCTTGAGAAATTTTGTATTTTTGTTTCTAAAACCCCCGTGTTGGAAAATCACCAGATGTCTTTTTTTTTTTAATTTACTTCATATTCACCACAAAACAAGGCTCGTGGGAGCCACTCAAATGTTTTGGGTTACTGTACAGACAGACACTGAGGACAAATCTATCTATCTTCTACCCCAGAAGTCTTGTCTATTTCCGGAGCTGCATCTGTCCAAAGCTGACTTTATTTGTCACAGCTTGGGTCGCATTCCCACATGCTCACAGTGTGGCGGTATCAGTCTACATATCTGATACACATCTCCACATTGGATGTTCGCCACATTTGTAACCGATAGAAAAGCGGGGAGTTTCAGTAACTATCAAAGATTAGACTGGCAAAGGGGGTGTTTCGTTGGATATCAGACGGCATAAGGCTAGATGTAAGCCATGTAACAACAGAACGAGAGTTTCTAGAATAAAACTAGAGCGTTTCTAGAATAGATATGGCAATGCAGTCAGGTGTTAAATTTTCGTCCAATTTTGGACTATGTTTTCAGTTGTACAATACGTGAGTTGGGCTAGATATACAGAAAGGCAGAGATTTTCAAATAATCACGTGATAGGCACCTGTTTCTAACGTCATACACCTGTCACCAACGTCACCGCTAGTCACGTGACCAGCACCTGCTCCTGGTCACTCAGACTTTCTTACAATTGCTCTCTCTTTCTCTCCTTCTATTTCATTGGATAGCATCCATCCATCCATTCGTCCTGGTAGACAGTCATCAAATCTCCTGCATTTTCTCTATTTGTTTATTCATTTATTCATTCATTCATTCATCCCTTCATTCCTCTTCCCATCCATCCGTCCATCCCTACCTTGAGTCGAACACCCTGCCGTCCGTTGACCCGACACTGCCCATGAAGTGCACAGACAGCAGATCTCCCTCTTACCTTCCTCCATTATTCCATCCCTCTTTCCATCCATCCATCCATCCATCCAACCACCCGCCCATCCATCCTTACCTCATTCCTTCATCCTCCCTCCCTCTCCATACCTTCATCCTTCGCTCCATCCATCCATCCATCCATCCCTCCACCCATCCATCCATCCATCCATCCTTACCTCAATCCATCCCTCCCTACCTTGAGTCGAACACCCTGCCGTCCGTTGACCCGACACTGCCCATGAAGTGCACGGACAGCAGATCCCCCTCTTTAGTCGTCCTGTCGCACGAGTTGGGCCGGGACACCACGCGCACGCGCATGCCCATGGGAGCCTCGACGTTGGTCACGAGAACGGGGAAGCCCAGCACGCCCAGGAAGATCGTTCCCAGGATAGCCAGGAAGCTGCGCATGCCCCGTGGCAGCGACATGAAGTACATCTTCTTTTCCTCTGTCTTCAAATTCTGCGTCATTTCTTTAAGAAATCCAAACGTCCTGTCGGCTCAAGTTGGAAGACCCGAAAAGTTACACACTTCCAAACGTCCCGTCTTCTTCTTAAGTTTTTCAAACGCTGTGTTTCCTAGAAATCCTTGCAGTCAAGAAGCGAAACAAATCCTCGAAGCTTTCTTCACAGCAATCTTCGAATTCCTCGTTGTTTCCAATTACGAAGTGCCTGAATGCTTTATCCAAAGATCTCTGTGCAAAGTCTCCACCTTCACTGCTTTTCTTAGTGTCCACGAACGCGTTTCTCAAGAACTGAAACGAATCCAACTCCAGCTTTCTTCACATTCCTTTTCTACCGATGATTTAAGTAGCTAAACGCTTCGCTTCTTCCTGTGAAGAGATGAAATGACCCAAAATATCCGGGAACAAACTTTTCAACAAACTTCTCCGTCCGCTCTCGGCAGCTGAAAGGCTGCTTTAATTTTGTCCCTGGGGATTCGAACAAAACTCTAACACTGCGACACAGTCCTGCTTGCAAAAATTGGGGAAACGCAGCTTAGGAAATGAAGCAGGACGTTTCAATTTCCCGGGAAAATTTCGCCGTTCCGGGTTTGGTCGCTGAGAACGGAAACTGACCCAACAACAACAGAGGGGACTCAGTCGTCCCTGGATCGCGGTAACAAGTCCCAAATGTCCGGTCAGCTGGCCTGCGGTGTCAATGTGGCTGTAACGGAAAGAAAAACTCCCTCAACTGCGAAAACAAGGCCTGAAAATCCGCACAGATAGTCCTTTGTCGTCGGGAAGAAGTTGTCTCAATCCTTCGTCCGAATTTGTCGTTTCCACAGGCACTTCACCTACAAACAGACGAACGTACAAATTACGACGATTCACAAACTTTCGCGGTGACTTCTACTAGAGTAAGACCTCGAGCACTAAAAGTCATTTGAAAATCCTCCACTAGACGCAAATTAAATGTTTAATATCACATCTAACGCCACACGTCTCTGAATCCGACTGGGTTTGTCACAGTTCTGGTCACAAAGACTGTTGGACGGACGACTTGCAACAGATAAATATCAAACGTGCACTACAGATAGTCCGGCCTCTAGGGGTTCAGACCATAAAGAAATAGTTAGATACTAGACTCACTGAATCCTGGGCTAGTTTCGTCGGTAGCGTTTCTCAGAGTACAATTTCTGTTAGATCACTCCTCACCCAGTTATCATGACTGGTAACGTCCCAGTCCTAGTCGAAAAGGGACTTCCGAAAAATGCAAAGTCCCACTTGACAACAACAACAGCACGCCGCCCGCTGGTGTCCACACGAATCAATGCCTTGTATCTTCCGCTATCTCCTCGCAGTGTGCTTCTAATAAAGATACGCTTATAGAGAGACCCCCTCAGGTCATCACCGACTGGAACAAATAGAATCCGTACCTTGCAACAGTGATGTTGTCACCGCCACAATGTAGCGATTTGAGCCGTGTACGAATGTAGCGAGTGACCGACGTGTCCACCTCGAGCCCCGTACATACGGGTCTGAGTGCACCGGGCGCCGACGGGCAAGGCTAGCGGGAGAAGGCTGGAGACACGCCGAGGGAGGGGGTTGGTTGGACCCGGGCCAAGCCGACCGGCCTTGTGCTGACGGTCAGCTTCCACTGCGGGCTCGCTTGGGGTGTTTGGGGATTCTGGATACGAACGCGGGCGCGCGTCCAGAATTTCACTTTTACTCGTCGAGATAGTTTATCGAAGATCTTACTTAAAAACAAAGAAATGTAAAATTACAAAAACATGACTGTTTATTTGGTCTCGTTTCGACGCTGTTTTAGAAGGCAAATTTTAACGCTGGAAACCTCCTTACACAGCCTCACAAAACCGCATGTAGCACTTGTGTTTCTTGTTATACTAGTAGTGTTTTCCGGTCAACGGGTCATCGAAGGATGTTCTACAACGCTCTATACAACCGCCAGAGGTCGCTGTTGGATAGGTGGTAAATGTTGCATCATTTAGGTAATCAGGTTATTGTAACCTTTGCCCTCTAGCCTCTGACACCAAAGGACCGCTATTTTGACAGCTCTGAACGCGTGGCGCCTTGTTACGTAGCGTCTTGTCTGGAAGTGAAGAGTCTCGGTCTCAGGGTCATCAGAGAGTTACAAAACAGCAAAGGGCAGACTTCTCAGAGCAACAAGACAAACTACGTGCGGGATCCATACTTCTAGAGGTGCTGGTAAGGTAAGAAAGAACTTTGTTTTCTTTGAAAGTAAGAGGAAGTTTTGATAATATGCAGGAATTCCAAGGAAATTTTTGGTATCTCGCAGCCATTTCTGTGCTTCTTCAGCTTTCTTTTAATAATTTGTAGACACGATAGATTTCATATGGAATCCGTACTTCTAGGGGAGCTGGTGAGATCAGGCACAACTTTGCCGCTTTCTTGGAAACTAAGTCGAAAGGAAATTATGGAGGAGGAAGCTTTGTTTAGTTTGAAGACGCCATGCAGGCATTCCAAGGAAATAAAATAGGTCGGGGTCAGGCCTGGTTGGGGTCGTTTTTTTCGGCATTTTCTGCGTTTCAAGGGCTATCCTGCCCTCAACCTTGCTCTCTTCCCAACCAAACCAACCAAACTTCCCAAACTTAGTCTTTTCAACAGTCGGTTTTTTGAGGCATGACTCCTACATATGGTGTGCGACTTGCGAGGCTTGGGTTACAAGTTTTCCGCCCAAGGGCAGCGGTCGCCTGTTATCAATTAGCACTTCTGATCCAATCGCAAAGGAGATCTCCGGGTCATGGGGGCAACCGGCTATCCTTTATCTGTTCTCCAAGCAGATCCTAGGGTGGCAAAAGACAGTATTAAATTGGCCAGTCAGTATCCAAGAGGGTGACCGATGGACCCTCTCTGGCTAATGGATATTGCCTGGCCTATTCGCAACTGTCTTTCTTTTGTCACCCTAGGATCTGCTTGAAGATTAGCCTCCATAGTAGGAATAGGCCAAATACATGCACAAACAGATAACAATAGATGAGTATACTGCAAAACCCCAAAGGAGCCCAAATTGTAGAGACTTGCAGAGTCATACTTTTCTTCCAATGTTATACAAATAACCCTATGATTAGGCCACACCAATTTAATTTGTTGGTTCTCGGATTCGCCTCTTCATTTTTTCCTGATTTGCAAAAAAAAAAAATTTACAGAATCAACTGCAAAATGCTCATATTTTGCCCTGAACAGCTGAAAACAGTCCTTTTCTTCCTAGTTGTTACAGTTATTCCATCTTTCAATGCAGTGGTATCATTAGAAGTTCAAAATTCATTGTTTAAATTTTGAACCAGCCTTTTGTGTTGACTTCATACCTCCTATCGTAGCATTTAGGGCTATAATAGGATGCCTAGATCTGTTTTTATTTTTATTTTTTTTCGCCCTGTCGCTTCATATTTTTCCTGAAAAAA